TACTATGACGTCGTATTGACAATACCAATGATAGTATCAGCAAGGGAAGAACCATTGACGTTTGGAATGTCGCTGATAATACGATAAGTCACCGTAATGTACTACAGTCATACCTGCTACGTGTACTCTGTAATACAACCTTCTCATATATTACGATTAAAAAGGAAACACTTTATAGCATTCAGCAATCCTAGTTCCCGTGATAGTCTTACTAAAAGATAAAGTTGAATTTATTTGAACAAACTATTATCGAAGTGAACATTAAATTAAAGACCTCTGTTTACGTATTCTAATAGTTACTGTCAAGCAATTAAAAAGGAGAAGGTATATTGTGACTGCCAACCCCGTCTGTAGTCATATTGGTTAAATAGAATTTTGAATGATCAGTAGCATTACAGAAGTGATAATTACAAACGGATGTGGAAAAGACACACAAGAGAATAACACGTTTGATTATAGAATTAAATACAGCGCAGATGAATGATGAATTTAACTGTACCATACAACTGTTTCATTCTTCTAAGGTACATCAATGATGCTAAAGGTCTAAAGTTTGAAACTTAAGAGGCGACCGAGGAAAATCCTAATTGATCGAAATAAAAACAGATAGGGTTGTGCATTAGCCACATAAATTTCATAAGAACACCGTCGTATATTCTGAATAAAGCCACGATGCGAATTAGGTAAAACGTGATAAGCAGGTAGGGCAAACCTCGAGGACAAAAGTCCGCCAGCAGTGTTTGCCACCTGCAATCACAAACAGTGTACAAGAGACATGAAATTACAAGAACATTTCAGTACAAATTTACAATCAGATACAATATAGCTAACAATTTTAAATGAATAAAGTGTAACTGAACCATTTATTTTTTTCTATTCAACCGTCAAAAACGTATCCATGGTTTTAGCAGCAAGAAAAAAATACCTTCGTCTTCATAAAATTGATAAATACAGGGGAAATTATGAACGAAACAAAGATTTAGAAAGAGACACTCAAAAAATGCATAATATGAATGGGAGTCACAATCCAAACTCAAATGCAACAAAACATGGGACACAATATAATCAAAAGAAAGATGAAACAGTACAAGTGGAATAAGGCCATGTGTTCCGGAAGAGTAAGCGTAAGCTGTTTCATCGACGAATGAGAATACGATAAACAACTACAGAACTAACAGGGATATAACCAAGTTAGTAATATCGCGTTCTAAATTGCGATCAAACTTCATTCCGCACAAATAACTTTATTTTCTGTAGTTGACTGATTATCGCTTTTAAATGAAATACGTCATCGAATGTGAATAAGATTCGTGTGAAACAGATTACTCTTAAAAAGAGTTTAAAATTCATTATTTTTCGTGACATCCAAATGAACGGGTATCGTTGTAATGTTTCTGTCCAAACTGTCTGAAATTCTCATTATAGGTTGGAAGTATCATTTTCTAGGATTTTATTTGATTTTTTAATTATCATGATTACTAAAGTGTCTTTCAGGAAATGATGATGGAGGATGGAAACGCCCAGACGCTGAGAGGATATTACATAACATATTATCGCTGACCAGTGATGAAATAATTTATATTCAATTATGTCTATTATCATAAAATGTAGTCGCGAGGATTTCACGTGCAAAAAGACACAAATTGCACCTCTCAGTTGACGCTTAGAAAAAATAGTTTCTGCAATCACAAAGCCTATTTAAAGAATTACTCACCAAAGCCGGATGGAGACATCAAAAGGAGGTTTACAAATTTAAAGGTAACAGAAACGATAAGAAAATACCAACGTATGATCAAAATCATAATACCAACTCAAAGTCGGCAAACTATGAACAAAAGACATATTTACACACCTAAAAAATAGGATAATAAGACCATGTGTCTGGAAGAATAAGCGTCTCATGCTTCATCGACGACACCCGCTATGTCTGTTATCTATTATTTATCCTTGTACTATCGCTAAAATTCGTGTTTTTGTACATTCTGTTCCTGTATATACAACAAATATATTCATAAAACAGTGGGGATATTGACTGAAGATCATCGGTAAAATGCTAAAATTTTGGTTAGTAGATATGCTTTACGGAGGTAGTCAATTTTGAAAATTAAAAACATTTAAATGCGGTCTGGAACCCCATATTGTACTTTCACTCTAGCTGATGTAAAGGCTGAAATGAGTCGGTAATGGTGTTGATTTATTAAATTGATTGTGTTCTTGTTTTTCGCACAAGTCAACTCAAATAGCCTGTGTTATGGAAGCGCAACATAGTCTAAACATACGGTTACATATCATAGATTTTAGCACATGTATTTACACATTAATGAAAAACAGTCATTCCGTATTGAAAATACATGGATACGTATTAGTAGTAACTTTTACAGACACGAAGTATATTCTGATTTCATTAATGAAAACGAAGTCCAGCCGCTTTGACATTTTTCCATTAAATGTATAACGTTACCTATATAAGCCATGTATACTTCGTTCACTTGATTTCCATTGCTAGTTAGCTAGGTTTGGTCTCATCATTGGCCAGTGTCATGCTACTCTCCATCAGTGCTGTGCTCCGTTATGTGGTTCTTGATTTGTGTTTAATTTACAATATATACAAATGTAATTAAAACATATTGCAAGGTTGGATTGGATTTATGTGATTAAATAGCATACATCTGTTGTGTTCTTAAATTAGGGCTCTTCGGTGATGCTAAGGGCCTAAATGTAGAAACCAAGGAGGGGATATCCAAAACGATCAAAGGAAATGCGGAAATCTAGATGAAGATATGCACTTGTCCCATGATTAAATAATTGTCGCAATCTTCATAAATCTGATAATTTCGAATGAATATCCCGTATATGTGCCATGGAGGATACGGCAAACGTCGGGACTAAAAGTCAACGACACACAACTGTCATGGTCTAATTTACATTTTTAACAGATCTATATAGTCACACGTTTTTTCTGCATACTCCATATAAAACGCTTCATGTAATTGATTTGCATAAGGCCCATCATGTAGGACTGGACGACTTTCATCAAAACATCATAAAATGATAACCATAAAAGCTTAAGGAAAAACACAACTTCATACAATAAAATATATTGAAAAATCAACCTTTAAAGGAGTAGTTATAAAAAGTTAACAGCCTAGGGAAGTTTTTCTCCGGATTTCGTCATACACTTGACAATTGGGATCGTTGGCATACATTTCCATTGAACACTGCCCCAAAAAGATTTTTTTTCTCTTATTTTAGAATGAATGTATTTTCCTATTCTTATCTTTTTTCATTTTATTACTTGTTTTCTTTTCTTTCTTTTAATATTTCGAGCATAAATCCCTTTTTAATTCTTGATTAATGTTCAAATATAGCACTGCTGACTCGGCTTATATCCATATAAGATACCTAAATTACATTTTTAATTAATAAATAATGTTTATCCTGAATTTAGGTTATATTGCATTATTGCCAAGGAAAGGGTTTAAAATATAGACCAGAGTATTTAGAAATCTTGATCAGAATTCAAATGTATTACTAATAATAATGTCCAGCATCCTTGAAAGTTAATTCCATATAATGAGAGAAAGCGTTGGAGATAATATGAATTGCCAAATCTTTCAATACATATTGAAATCAACATATTATTTCTTCATTGTTTTGTTATTCCTTTATAGAATAGCAGTAGTGTACCGTCACGTTCTCTGGTGTTAGATCTCTAATCGACAACAGGACATAACTTACTTGAGTTACGAAATATTCATAATCATTTTCAAAAGTAATTCAACAGTCGAAGGTCGCGAAAACATGCGCTGAACGAGATATAAAGAATCCTTTCTCCTTGTATTAATTAGGAGCAGCAATAACCAAGACGAGTAAATCACTGATGAAGAAACCTTGGTTTTAAAGTTGGATTGTGAAAAGTATCGTATCGGTGCTGTGCGGAATATATAAAATTACACAATGATGAATTCGCTTCAAAATGTATTTCCTGTGTGGATAATTGGACTGTTTGCAACTCTTTACTTTTTATATAACAATACACGTGTATATTTGACCAAGCTGATTTGTCTTCAGAACATTGTTTTCAGGCACTCTTACATAAAATTGTCAGTAATAGTTTCAGGTACCAATATGTTACGTTTTGTTAGAAACAATACTTTTACAGCTGTATATAAAATATAATAAAGTACAAGAATTCACCAATAAGAATCTTTACTATTTAGATTAGATTTAGATTTATAGTATTAATTCAGAGTGATCAATTAATAAGGAATGTCACCAGTCGTGGTACGTATTAATTAGTAAGTATGAAAGGGAGCACGCTTATATTTGTATCCATGTCTATCGTTTAATATGTTCCTAATCATCTCCCCCCTTTATTAGTGATCAATATACCAGTTGTGATAACATTTGCATGTGAACCACTCTTCACTGAGTAGTGCATGTTTACTCGTGTTAATTCGGTGTTAGTCCTAAGCTTGTATCGGAGCCTTCAGCTACACGCCTAGTCCATTGATCCTCCTCCCATAGTCAACGCTTCACAGGCAATGGTGTTGCTTGCAGGGTGGATTTGTCCAGAGAAAACGCTAGATTTTAATATTAATAATCCAAAGCTAGTGTTTTCATTGGCTGATATCTGATCAGTAAGTGGCCCTTAACTGCTTCAGCGAAGGAAGAAGGGGTGTGCTTTAGCAAGCCATATATAACGATATCTGCCCACGTGAAGGGAGGGAGACAGATACCACACCAGAAACTCTGACATCTCGGGGAATTCACGTAACAGGTCCGGACGCCATGGCAACTACATCCTATATATATCACCGATTCTGACAGCACTAAGGACAAGTTTTAACTCTTAAAGAGGGTCGTTTCCATCAACGTCATCGACTCTCTACCCCACCGGACATTTTTATACTCGTCAAATTGAAACTTGTATTTTTCCCCTTTATTCAATTTCGTGTATATAAAGTGTTAAGATTAAGATAAGGTGCTTTGATAACACTATGGTGAATTTGGACTCGATAACGGTTGTGGGGCTTCTGATTGTGGCTGTTTTTGGAGTTGAAGCTTTCACAGAAAATTCTCTTTGGAGCGAATCGGTAAGCATTTTTTTTCTTGTTTCCATTAATTTGCTAAGAAATATATATTCAAAGCAATAATTTAGTTGCATATCACGGAACATGCTAAACGGTTTTATTGTGGATTTCTTGTTTTAAATGTCGAATGTTGGAGAATGATTGTTGATAAACTTTCAGCAAATAAGACTGGAGGTCAGCTATACTAGATTGGAAACGTTTTACCTTCATAATGGTCAAAATAATGTGTTTTGTCGAAGTAAATCAGGCCTAAGACTTTGTGGACGTTTTGAGAATATCACTGATTGAATCGTTTTCCAATCTTTGCTTTCTACTTTGGAGCTCCATATTTTTTATGTAAAACCATCCAAATACTATATTCAATTATATGGCAGTTTAAATATTAAAGGAGAAAATCTAATAGAGCATTTACTACGAAGATAAATACTTCTGTTGTTTCTTGTTAGTCAAATTTTGATCTTCCAAGTGCATATTTAAAGATGGGATGAACCCTTCATATCGTACAACATAGCTGAACTGAGTTCTTGGCGAGAGGACTTCAATTCGGATTTCATGTCATCTAGAAATAGTGAACTAGCTGACCGTTATTAAAACTCGAAGGCTTTTGCATGCTCCTTGAAAGCAAGTACTCGTGATTTAAAAAAAGCAATGTTCGTTTTATGTACTGTATCATGTTTGGTATTGTTAAAGACAAAATTGTCTGGTCTGCAAGCGCTGAATCTATATGATATTGGTTAAGTATAAATAGTTACATTAAAGTTCATTATGAAATAGAAGGAAATGTTGATATACTTGATTTTTTTTTTCTATTCTACGAAATTTCTTCTCATATTGAAGTATAAAAAGTTAGCAAAAATGTACAAAGTATAAAAATAGTAAGTATAAATGTACAAGTCAAATATATAAGTAAAAAAGTAAAGATATAGAAGTCAAATATATGAATGCATAAAAAGTCAGTAAAAATATACGAGTCAAATATAAAAGTATAAAAAATAAGTATAAATATGTACAAGTCAAATGAAAATGTAATTGTAAATGTAAGTAAATGTAATCCAGTAAATGAATTATCCTACAAGTCATATTAAGTACAATTACGATAAAATACGATAAATATCTAATATTTGTATGGTTAAGTCATCACAATAGCTAACGTTTAAATAACAATAGATGGTTTTATCGATTTTCACTATCATGCTTTAGTATACTACATTTCCAAGCGGCGGTTGATAAAGAATCTTGAATGTTGTGTATTGCAAGTTAATAGCATATTTGTGCACGTGACGATAGGACTTGTGTGCACTTGAGAACATGCACGGATATGTTTTTTTAAGGAAAACGAGTGGTTGATATTAATTATACCTTTGCCGGAGAAGAGTCTGCATGCTTACACGAGAACTATATCTGTACAGACGTTCATTGGAGGGAGTGATGTACCAGTGCTGACGTTTTATAGAATTCAATAGCCAATTTGTTATCAATCAATCTTCAAAGATGATTTTCTATATTTAGCTCACTTTTGACGTCACGTTACATGACATATACGATTTCTATACAGATGTTTATCTCATTAAGATCCTTTTTTTATTTCATTGCACTCTGATTTCACTTCTTAACTATACCAAGTTTGCAACATGTCGAGACATTTCATGATATCGTTAATGAGACATTTATCCGGAAAACGCCAGAAATTTATAATCGGATGATGCCCTAACTATGGCCTCGAAATAAAGAGAAATCAAGGAAGACAGCTGTAATTGTGTTTATTGAAATTTTATATTTGCTCCTGTGTGCCTGGTTTGTCAACAAAATAATGTTCCTCAGACATTCTCTGACAAAGATGATTACTTAGTGAAATCTTATATCGTGTCTCTAACTAGGAGCTAAAAATATCGAGTACTTTTTAACACGAAAGACGGTAACGTAACCTATTTTCCAGACGGGAAAGTAAATAGAATAAAAACTGGCTTCAGTCGAGTTTGAAACAATCTAATTTTCTTATTTCTACCTTCGTAGAAGTAGATATATTACGCAGGGTTTCATGGCACAACAAACAACTGTGAAAAAACCAACAACAGTACCACCATGTACATGAATATCATATATTTGAATTTGAATTTAATATCTTCTGTTTTTCGTTTAGTATTCACTTATATCACAACTTTAGTAGGTCAGTTAAAAGTATACATGTGATTCGTTTAGTCTGCCCGTACATTTTTCATGAAATTAATTTATCTCAAAAAATAGTTTGCCAGGTAACTTACTGTTTGACTCGGCGTATCCTAACTAGCGGGTTGTCATGTAATTGTTGCTGCAAGACATTCACAATCCCAGTCAACATAATAAAGATATCTGCAATAAATGTCTGTATTTGTCTTTGAAACGTGGTAAGAGGATATAAATAGTATTGTTTACCTAAAGTCTCTCTCTGATGAATTGATACTCTTTCCTATATATGAATTACTGGGAGATGGTTAAATAGTTTCATTGTTTATCTTAGAAGTACCAAATACTTATCAACAGTATTATTATGCAATTTGGTTGAACATGAAACATGAATATTAATCTTAAAGATTCTATTGCACTCTAAAATACCTGTTTTCATAAGCTGATATTTGATTCTATTTGTGATTTGTTTTTCATTTTAACCCTACCTGATTTTATTTTAACTTTATACATAAGAACTATCATGGGTCTAGACTCAAATATTTTCCAAACTCAAAGTTATCTTCCAGAATGAAACGTTGTCTCAAATGTTGAGATGTTACGTGTTTCTGCCTGCATACGGAAAAGAATTTTATGAGGCGTAAGACGCTGTGTAAACACAACTAATAGGTTCACATCATGGCAAAAGACAAAGATGTCGTAAATAACCTTTCTAATATCAGAAATCAAAACGAACTTTTCAGAACATGACTTGTATTGAATTCACTTAGATTAACATGGTGGATGTCAACATTGAAGCAGAAAACACTCACCTTCCTAGAATACAGGGCATTATTTATCCTCTTTCCAGAGTATCTCAATAGATTTGTATCTGCTTTTCTTTATTTGATCGATATTGAGCTGTTCTGTTAATTCAGATCTTATCAATTAATGACTTCAGAGATGACTTAAAAATTATAACAAACACACTTGTGATTTGCACTGTTGAATACCAATTCAGAAATTGAATTAAGAAATCGATATTTTCGTAAGACACGTCAAATGGAGAGGTCCATTCATCCCCATTTTTTTTCTTTTCTGGTTTTGTTATGGCATGTTGTAAAACCGTAATTTAAAAAAAAAAAAAAAATTTGGGGGGGGGGGGAGTATTTTGCATTGACGTCGTCAGTATACTTAATCTACGAATTCATATGTCAAATTATATATTAGTGATCTATTGAGGTATACATATCCACGAAAACAAGTGTACACTAAAAAAGTATTCTTTGAAGAAACAAAAAAAGAAAAGAAAAGAAAACTGATCCAGACGATAATTATTGATTTTACAATATTTTGAAAAAGAACAAGTATTTTTATGTATATTCTGAACCGTGCCACTATGCGAACGAATCAAAACGTTTATTGCAAACTCCGGAGACTTAAGGTCACCAGCACTGTCTGCCATCTGCAATATTAAAGAATGCACAAAGTAAATTTGCTTGAATGTGTTTTTATGTGATTTGCATCAATAAAAAGGCTGATATTCTGATGACTCAGGAGTTATATCAGCGATATGTATCACCCTTAACATTGGCTTATCGTTCGATATAAATACTCGATATAACTATAACCCTCCTGATAATTTGTTGTTTTTTTATTATTATTTCTTATGTATGACACATGCAGCAATAAATGTATGGATCACTGAAATCGATATGATTTTATCCATGAGATTGCTTTTAAAATGTTCAACCTGCATGAAAAAAGTACAAAACAGGGTTATAGAGTTGAAGGTTGATGGAGATTATGAGAAAAATTATAGTCATGATCTCATTGCGAAGAAAGTATTTATTGTGTGATATGAGTTAATATTTATATTGTGATGTCTTGTTGCTGTAAAACTGGTTCTCATTTCCCCCTAAAAATACGGTTTACACGGATTGATTTATATGAAGGGTGTCGTCGATGAAGCAGAAGACGCTTACTCTTCCTGAACACCTGACCTTATTCCCCTTGTAATTATTATGGAATCTCCGTGTAAATCTTTCTTTTGTTCATAGTTTGCCCTAGTTTTAATGAATCTGCGTTTATATAATGATTATTTTCACAAGTTATTTTCTTATTTCTTATACTGCCCTGAATATATAAGCCTACAGTAATATCACTATATTTTACGTGCCTTTCTCATTCATATTATACTTTATTTTGAAACAAAATTTTATCTTATTCATATTTCTCTATAGAAAATTTTATATATAACATACACTTTTCTACAACAAAGTTTCTTCACCCAGCAGTAAATACCTTCATTCTCTTTACAACAACTTTTGTCTTCGGCCACGCCTCATTTATCACAATTTTTGGCAGTGAACTAATTTATCAGTTTGATCAAATATTGACAGAATATACTGACGTTTCCACTCGTCCTCTGTATATGAAGTATATAGTGTTCGTTGTCCATTTTTTATAGTTTTCATTGCCAATTTGTACCATACAGCAACAATTCAATTTGTTTTGTTCATATTTGCTTTACAGCAATCCTGAACTTCCCTTTCCTCATTTCTATTATTCTACATCTCTTTTCCACTTCTATCTGTAATGATAATAAGACGTAAAGCAAAAATAACTACCATAGAAACATTACATTCTTTTTCCGTTGGCATCCCATACTCTACACCAACCTCTATCCAACAGAAACCTGTCACTTTTCTTTTACCCATTTCTGCTGTATGGTGTATTTTACTTCTCTTTGTCTATCTCTCGTCTACAACAACCTTCCACTTCTCTTATCTATCTCTCCTCTGCAACACCTTCCACTTCTCTTGTCTATCTCTGTTCTGCAACAATCTCTCACTTCTCTT